GCTAACGATCTCACTGACCTGTGAGTCAGTGAGAGACAGGGCCAGCAGACCACTGGACAGGGAGGATGACTCTCTGGTTTCTGGCTTGAGGAAACTGGTGGAACGTGATGCCATCAACTTAGGGAATATAGGAAGAGGCGGATAGTTTGGATGGGATGCGGAGGGGCAGAGATACTGTGTTTAAATTATAATATTTAAATTTGAGGTACCAGGAAGAGATTTCTAGTAAGCAGTGGACAATGAGGTCTGGAGCTCCAGAGAGAGGTCTAGGCTAGACAGATAACCTTGGGAGACATCAACCTAGAGTTGTTAGTTAAAACTACAAGATCGTTCAAGGAAAACTTTAGAGCAAGAAGAGAAAGAGAGAAGGTGGCCAAGCACTGACCCTGAAGGGGTAGCAACAGCCAGCAGGGTACTGGCCATGAACTTGGTTGGAAAGGACCAAGAGAAGGGTTAGAAGAACTTGGGAGAGACTTATTCATGTGAGAGATTAAGGGTGCCAAATGTCCTAGATTGGTGAAGTAAGAATACTGAAGGGAGGACATTGTATTTGTCACTAAGGGACCATTGGTGACCTTTCCCAGAGAGCTTCTAGTGCAGTGCTATGAGCTGAAGCCAGACTGCATTTGGTTGAAAAGTGCATTAGAAGCAAGTGGAAGCCATTCTTTCAGGCTGGTGTGGCAGTCTTTCTTGGGGCCTCAGGGGCCTTCACAGCTCATTTAGCAAGTCCCGCCCACAGCATCCCTTACGGCCTCCTCTCAGCTGCCTGTGTTCCTATCCTTGGAGAAGCCAGAAGAGAATCCAGAAAAACTGCCCAGGTTCTTGATAGAGTTCCAAGTGAGCTTGGCAGATCTTCACTGCTAGTGGAAGGAATGGGAACCAGCGCTGGCCAAGCAGCCACATTCAGGGCTGGATCCTGAGGAGGCCAGGGTTCTAGCAGGGTAATAGGAAGGCTTATAGGCTGTGTCCCCAGCCAAAGCCCATTTGGGAGTGGCAAGAGTCAAATGCTGGTGAGACCAAGAGTAAATATCCAGCCCAGTTGCCTTGGGGCAGAAAACTGGTGTGGCATCAAGACTTCGAATCATGGCAGGGATATGACTGGAGTTAAGGCAGGACACTAGCAAGCAAGGAGCCAAGACAATTGCTGTAAACAGCCTTGGGCACCTAGAGCTGGCCTTTATTGGGTATGGCAGACTGGCACGGAGGCCCAGAAGGAGAACATCCAGAAGAAATATCTTTTTATTTTCTAGAAAAGCCAAAAGATGTGGCATTTCTCACATCCAGCACAGTGTGAGAGGTAGAGGGATGGGTTGGCCCCTTGCACAGCCCCACAGCCTCAAGGAGGATGCCATAAGTACCTGGCCACTCTCTGCAGAGTCGATGACCCCCCGCCTAATCAGATTTGGCCAGTGTTGCAGTTTGGGGGCATATCTAGATGCAAGAAGAGGCAGTCACCCAAAACCAGACCAGTTTCTTGCCCAAGAACTGTGTCCGATGACGCCATGCCCCAGGCACTGCTCTGAAGGAACTTACAGGAGTCCCAAGAGAGAAGCTGGCTGAAGCTATGCAACCTGGCCGCCTAGCAGAGCCTGACTCCCAGACCATTCCCCAGGCACACCTGCTAACTGAACTGCTCTGTACCCAGCGTGAGCAATTGCTAAAGCAGGGTTGGGAATGGAGCCAGCTGGGGCCACAGGGCCCACCTTCAGCAAATAGGTGTGCAGCCAGAGGGAGCAGCTGGGCTTCTCATGGGGCTCACCCAGCCACTTGGGCAGCTTCTTCACCAAGGCTGAACCTTGCCTCCCACCTGCATGCTTCCCAGCCTGCCTTGGAAGGAGTCAGGTTCCCATCTACTTTAAGCCCCAGGCTCAGCTGAGGGACATCTGGCTACCAGTGGGCCTGAAGATAATTAGAACCCATATCCATGGTTGGTCCCAGGGCATCAGGATGCTGTGTGGGCTTATACCAGCCTCAGATCATACCCAGCCTGAACCATTCAGCTAGACAAGTGTGCTTCATTCCCCTCGTGGGCTTCTGCACCAGCCCAGCGAGAGCAGGAACATCCAAGCTACAATCTCAGCCTTAGCAGCCAGGGCTACCCTAAAGCAGTCTGTCTCCACACATTCCTCAGTTGCATGAATTCACGTCTGACTTTGACCCAATTTGTATTCTGATTTGGAAGAATGAGTTTCAAAGCCATCCATGTGCACATCTATCTTTTCCATTATCCCCCACCAAGGGACCAATGACCAGACAGGGTGTCGAACTGAATCCTTTTAAATAGTAATCATAGGAGATCTGTATAGATAGATATATACATATATGGAGATATTATATTTATGTATGCTTTTGTATATAGATACAATCACACCCTGCCTTGTGACAACAGTAAGCCACTTATAAGTATTCATAAAATGCAACCAGTTAAGTAAAATTGGAGGCAGGTATTGAAAAAGGAAAACAAACAAGGCTAATACATGATCATGTCTTGAATTTTACACTCCTGCTATGTGTTGGCGCAGATTTGGCTCTAAACTTGCCAACGTAACAGCTATCTTAAAAAGGGCAACCTGGTCCATTACACAGTTCAGTGATCATTAGATAAGAAATGAACTAATTACTCAGAGTAAAGTAGAACGATTCCTGCTGCTAAGACCAGAAAGAAACCCTCCTGCAATCTTCTTACAGAGGACACTGCGTGTTGTAAAGACTTTGGCGGGATTTGCACAGAAAACACAGATGCTGTTTCTTACTCTCCCTTCCCTCTTGCCCAGCAGCACCCCATCATACTGTCTCTGAGTAAAAGATACTGGGTCAGAAATGCCTTTCTCTGCTGCTCTGGTTTAATCCAGTGGTACTCACTGGGGCAGTGGTTCTCACATTTCAGTCACCTAGGAAGCTGTTAAAAATTCTGATGCCCAGGCTGCATCCCATAAATCAGAATTTCTGGGGAGGGGACGCAGGGCACTGAGATTAACAAATAATAATAATAACAGGAACTTCTGATGAGCAGCAAAGTTTGAGAGCCACTGCTTTAGAATACCTGTACTTAGAGTTGATATTGAACCTCTACACACTGGTATGTCCATACTGCTTGTTAAAATATGGAAATACTTCCCAAATGGTTAGTAAATAGCCTCTGCCTGACCTCCATTACTGTCTCCCAGCTGCTTGGGCCCTCATCCAGGAGCCGTCCGACCTCCCCATAATCTAACAACTGTGGGGGCATATTTGGAGCAGCAGGATCCTGCTCCGGTGCTAAAGCCAGCATCTGTTCTGGGTGACCATGCCCCTGCTGTGTGCAGTTAGTGTTCTGAATACCATCTTTGCCAGTTAGGGTGGATGAACTATAAATTTGCCAGGGAATCCCCCATACATTTGTTTTCTGCTTTTGATTACTGTTGAACAACAATAAGTTCAAAACTCTATTCTGCCAACCAAAAGAAAATCTATATGCCTTAACCGGCTGGGGTGAGCTTGGCGTCCTCTATCCAACAGGGATAGAGATGAGCTCAGGGAGCATCCATGCACAGAACCCTGGATAATAGGCCTGGCCTGCTAATTGCATCTCTATGGAATTTACATGCAAACTCATTATATGTCCTCCACCAAGAACATTCTCTACCACAGTAATTATGGGTCCACCCTTACTGTTTTCCTGAACCTACTGGCGTCACCACACCCAGCAGGCAGCCAGAACCTAAAGGGATCATGAACCACTCAAGAGGTCTCCAGGAGTTATTCTGGCAAACCAGAGTACCAGTGAACACACTCGAGCTAGTGCCTAGGGCCTGGGAAGGCCATCTAAGTGGAGTCTCAATGTTGTTCTTCTTCCAGCCTCTCCCTGCCAGTGCTACAGCCAGGAGGGTCCGCAACTGGGGTCCTCCAAGGTGACAAGGCCACCAACCTCATGACCTGAATTCCGCAGTCCCTTTAATGGGAGTTGTCTCTCTTCTACCACTCCTTGGGGCTTCCAGGCCGTCCACCCACACCCCATGATCTGCCCCTGGACCTAAGTCCTTCTTCAAAGAGGAACCAGACTTCCACCCACATCACATCCCCCTCACTTCAGAATCACCACAGAACACATTGAGGCCTTCTCACAGGTGAACAAGGGAGAGAACTACTCCTCTTAGGGACGGGATCTGAGGAGTATCCTCTTTGGCCCTAGCCCAGTAACTGGAGCTGATGCCCAGGAATAAGTTAGAGCCAGCCCCGACTCTGATTCCCTCTCATATTGCCGTGTTCCTTGCTGGCTGGACCTGCCTTTGTCAGCTGACAGCCATCATGTATGGGAGCTTATTATGTGCCTGCTCCCATGCTGTGCACTTGATATAAACGCTCCAGCCTGACTTTCACACTCCTCTGATGAAGATTCTAACATTACGCACATTTTATAGGCTCAGAGAGATGAAATGACTTGTCCAAGTGGCAGAGCTAAGATTCAGACTCAGATTGTCTGGCTTCAAAGTGCCTGTTCTACCTTTTCTTCTTTGGTCACTTGCTTCTTCAGGCCCCCATACTAGTTAAACCGACTGGCTTGGGTTGTCTGCTGCAGTTGGCCAACCTCATCCTCCTTTTCAGATCCTTCAAATGCACTCACTCACATCTCCACTCTCACTTCCTCCCTCAGGTTTGGTGTATCCATGGCCAAGCCATACTAGCTCCCCAAGGGCCTCCCTGCCAGAGGGTAGAGGCCCAACATAGAAACATTGACCTTTTAACCTCATGCCTCCCCAAACCAGGGCTTTGTAAAATAATTTACACGCTTTCATGCAATTCATGCAAACCTGCATTCTTTGCTGCTAAATTACTAGACAGTTGTGAAATTTACCCCAATCTATGGATGTATACTGTTATTCATGTTTTAATTCTCAAATGTTTTAAAAGAGGAAAAAGGATACATTTGTTGACTTATATCAGCCTTGGAAGATTACTGTCAAAAGTTTTTTTATTATTGAGATATTTGTTTCTTTCTTTTATTTATTTTTTTCCTGCAGAGATGAAACCAGAGGTGAAGACGAAGCTCGGTGAGCAGGGTCCTCAGATTCTTGGTGTCCAGAGAGTCTACATCCAGACGCGGGAAGAGAAGCGCATTAACCTGACCGTCGGTAGCAGAGCCTATTTGCTGCCCAACACATCCGTGATTATTAAATGCCCAGTGCGACGATTCCAGAAATCTCTGATCCAGTGGGAGAAGGATGGCCGTTGTCTGCAGAACTCCAAGCGACTTGGCATCACCAAGTCAGGCTCCCTGAAAATCCACAGTCTTGCAACCCCGGACATTGGCATGTACCGGTGCATCGCAGGCCCTGCACAAGAAACAGTTGTTCTCAAGCTCATTGGCACTGACAACCGTCTCCTTGCACCCCCAGCCCTCAGAGAGCACCTGAGGGAACACCCTGGGATGGACCACAACGAAGCCAATAGTTTGGGAGCCACATGGCATAAAATGAGGCAAATGTGGAGTAACAAAAATGAGCTTTATCTGGATGACAGGCAAGTTAATAACCAGCCTTTCTTGAGAGCTCTGCTGGGCCCCTGCAGCAATTCTGCAGGAAACACCAACTTCTGGGAGTTTAAGAATAAGCAGTTCGAAGCAGCTGTTAAACAGGGAGCATACAGCATGGATACTGCCCAGTTTGATGAACTGATCAGAAACATGAGTCAACTCATGGAAACCGGAGAGGTCAGTGACGACCTTGCGTCCCAGGTGATCTATCAGCTGGTGGCCGAGTTAGCTAAGGCACAGCTGGCACACACGCAGTGGAGGGGCATCCAGGAAGAGGTGCCTCCTGCAGCTCAGCTAAGGGGGGAAACAGGAAGCGTGCTGCAAAGCTCAAAGTCGAAAAACTCGGGCAAGCTGACATTCAAGCCAAAGGGACCCATTCTCGTGAGGCAAAGCCAACCCACCCCAATTTCATTTAATAAAACAGTAAATTCAAGGATTGGAAATACAGTATATATTACGAAAAGGACAGAGGTCGTCAATATACTGTGTGAGCTTGTTACCCCCAGTGAGGCCACATACACATGGACCAAGAATGGAGCATTGTTACAACCCTCAGGAAAGTAAGTCAAATCAGAATACAGTGTTCACTTTGTGATACCTTCTTAATGGTTATTCCAGTTTTCTTGAAAATATTTTCAAATTCCTTCTCCTGAGAATGTGTTTCCAACAGGATTCTTTAGGAAAGAAACTCAAAAATGTTAGGACGTGTTTTTCACATATGCATTGGAATTTTAAAAATTAAACCATCCTATCCCACTCACTATTGTGTAGGTGTGACACGACTCTGGATAAAGTAAGACTGAGTTTAAGCGTATATAGACTCTCTCTTTTCAGAACACTTCACAGTTAAGAATAAAAGCAATATAAGGCCATTAAGAAAGTAAACATACTTGCAGTAATCCTACATTATGTAGGAACTGCGAATCGGAATTTACAGTGTCCTCCCTTGTCTAAGAGATTCGGTCTCTCAGTTGAGTTCACATCAGCCCTGTGAGTTTGGTAGGTCAGGGGTTAATAATTTTCCACTGAGGTCGTTGAGAAACAAAATCCCATGACTAATTCATGGACAGTCAGAACCAGGGATCCTATCTCCTGAACACTGCCAGTGATGTTTGAATATCACAGAAATAATAGCCTTGGTAGAGAGACTGGGGACCTGAAATAATTTTCTATATCGTGCAATTTTTTATGTCATAAAATCCAAAAATAGGATAATAAGGATCAAAGTTTTTTAAGGTGTTCAAAACACAATATTAAGTCATTTATTATTTTATTGGGATCTGTGTCAGCGCAAAAATATCACATTTCATTCATTTTACATAAAATAACAGAGGATAACAGAAGTATTAATTTGCTTTTGCACTCTCTACTGTCTCCAGATCTTGCTATCTGTACACAGAGGACTGTAGACATTTTGCTTTTTTAAAATTTGCATTTAAGAGCTTGAGATGCACCTTACCTGCCTCCGGGGATTGTTAAGAGACACAAACAAAACAGCAGATGTTAAATTGTTTTGCAGACCATAAGGTACTTTAAAAATGCGAGTTGTATTTGTATCATGTCTTTTGTGCATTGAGCGTAATATGTGAAATGTCAGAAAAAATCTAGGTAAAAGTCAATTTTTAATAATAAATTAGTAGGCTATGTTTTAGAATGAAAACGTAGAACAAATCTAATTTTTTTTGTTTTTTGCCCTGGAACTCTGAACACAAGAGTGTAATGAAGTTTTAGAAGTCGAATAAACTTTCCAGATCAACTAGCTTAGCAGTTCTCAAATCTTCTGGTCTTAAGACCCCTTTAAACTTAAGAAATGATTGAGAAGGTCAAAGAACTTTTGTTAATGTGAGTTATAGCTATTGATGTTTATCATATTAGAAGTTAAAACCGAGAAACATTTAAAATATCTGTTTATTAATCCATTTAGAAATAATAATAAGCTCATTACACGTTCACATAAATAATATAACTTTTGAAAAGCAATATTTAAAAAAATTTACTGATAACAATGGCATTGTTTTACATCTTTTCAAATCTCTTTAATGTCTGGCTTAATAAAATATAGCTAGATTCTCCTAAATGCTTCTACATTCCATCTGTCATGATATGTTCTTTTAATTGAAGTTGATAGAGAAAATTTGGCCTTATACAAATAGGTTAGTTGGAAAAAGAAGAAAATTTTAATTGCCTTTTCAGATAATTGTGGCTATTCTTCTTTAATATTACACTAAAACTGGACAAGAGGTAGTTTCTTAAAGGTTAGCTGGAATGTGGAATCTAAAACCGTATTAATGAAATTTTGATATTCTGTTACAATGATATTCTGTTACAATGAAATCTCTTGGTTTATCTTACATTTTGAATGGATTTTTTACCTACACAAGATTTTAAAAGGTCGTATATTGGTCATTTGGAAAACATTGGTTCACTGAATTATACAGATCTTCCAAATGGTGACACATTTCATTATACAATGTAAAAAATATACATATTGTTTAATATCGCTACCCATCTCATCAGAAAGTCTTTGAGCTTTAGGAACCTGTCAAGCTCACAAGGGAGGATACTAAGTTTCCAAAATTCTAATTTTCACTTGACAGCTCGAATTTTATCATTGGCAATGAATACCGTCCGTTGTTTCCTTTGACTTGGCCAGCTCATCTTTGTTCGTTTAAAAAAACATCTTCCAAATACCCAAGTCAGAATAATCATAGTTTGTCTATCAGTCAATTCTTTCAAGTAAAAATGAAGAAAGCAACTAGTTCAGCTAGCAATTCAGTCGTGCCGATGTCCTTTGGCACGCAGCAGAAATGCCATGTGTGGACTTCCCGCTTTGTCATACAGAATATTAAAAACATATGTACTCAAGGGTCGAGATTTAGTGAAATTAATAAGTTTTACTGCTTCATTAAGGACATTCTTAAGGGAAACTGGCATTTTTGTTGTTACTGCAAACGTGTGGTAGTCAAGAATATGTGACTTTGGTGCCACTGCCGCGGTTCCTGTGAAGGTGCCAGCAGTTTCACCCACCACTGCTTTCACTATCAGTGCAAATGTTAACACAGTGAAAAAGGCAAATAACGCCTTAGTATTATTATGAAAATAGTTTTGATCTCACAGACCCTTGGGGTCCATGAACCACCCTTTGAGGACAGCTCAAGGACTTGACTTTATAAATTGTAAGGAAACAAAGGCTGAGAAAGTTGAAGTGATCACTTGACCTATGGCCATATATGTACTACGGGGATGTAGTAGAGCATGGTCAGTTTAAGTACATGTTTGTTGAATTGAACTGAGTTTAAATAATTTGACTTGAGCAAATGAAATTAACATGAGTTTCTGAGGCTAAGACGTCTGGAGGTCATATAAAGAAGCGGTTTTGACATGGTACATCCTACCCAAAAGTGTTTCTCCATACTTTAAGGATCAACCACTTGATATTGAAGAAATTCCTTATGGCTATTAAAAGCTTTTGTTTTTAATTTTTTAAGAGAATAAAAGAATAAGAACTATTTTTATTTCCATTTTTTCCTCAACCCTACATAATTAATTTGTTCAACTTATGTTTAATTTCCTTTAGGTAACAAAGGTTCTCACCTTTACATATATGTTTCTGAATCTCACAAAGTTTTCAATGGAAGCAATTCAGAAATGGAATTGTGTTTCTGAGAGCCTCTGTCCAATGAGAGGATGCCGTGTGGGCATGGAGTAGCTTTGGATGCCAGCTGAGTGAGAAATCTCAGCTCAAAAGGGAAAGCTGTGGGTGATTCACTGGGGATGATGCCGCTGGAAGATCAGCTTTGTTATGGCTTCAAGTTAAGAATAAGATCGTGCAGAGGGCCGGCCTGGTGGCGTAGCGGTTAAGTGTGAGCGCTCCACTTCGGCGGCCTGGGGTTCGCAGGTTCGAATACCGGGTGCGCACCAGCGCACCGCTTGTCAAGCCATGCTGTGGCGGCATCCCATATAAAGTAGAGGAAGATGGGCATGGATGTTAGCCCAGGGCCAGTCTTCCTCAGCAAAAAGAGGAGGATTGGCATCGGATGTTAGCTCAGGGCTAATCTTCCTCACAAATAAATGAATAAATAAATAAAAAGATTGTGCAGCAGAGGCCAAGGTCAGATCCCTTCAGGAACTCTCCCTGCTGGTTCTCCAGCTCAGGGACTGAGCCAGGCTGGATACCCGGACGGCTCCACCTGGCAGTAAGGTTCATGTGTACTCAGCCATTTCTTTTTTTTTTTTTTTTAACTTTTTATTTATTTATTTTTCCCCCAAAGCCCCAGTAGATAGTTGTATGTCATAGCTGCACATACTTCTAGTTGCTGTATGTGGGATGCGGCCTCAGCATGGCCGGAGAAGCGGTGCATCGGTGCACGCCCGGGATCCGAACCCGGGTCGCCAGTAGCAGAGTGCACGCACTTAACCACTAAGCCACGGGGCCGGCCCCCACTCAGCCATTTCTAATCTCCATGATTTCTCACCGTGCTGTTCAGTAGAGGCCTACAGGATTGCTAAATCATGCAAACATGTATATGAAATAGTTTAAGAAAACATTTTAGCATACTTATTTTTCAAGTGTAGTTATAGTTATACTTTTGTTCTGAATCAACCATTCCTTCATAGGGATTTGACAGTGAAATTCTAGCCCTACTAATAGCTAGGTCTGCCATACTCCTGTTTTTGTTCTGGGCAGTTCAACTGTTTTGATTTCCACCTATGTTTGCGTATTTCACATGTGTGTTGTGGAGGGCTTGCATCCTCCTAGTACGTTTACTCTGTGCCATTATTCTATTCTATTCTGATCATTCATGCGTTTAGTCATCAAAGGTTTTTGAGAACTTCGCTCTATAAAAGTCACTGTGCTAAGCACTGAGAATGCACAGCTGTGAATAAGATTTGGTCTCTGCTCTTGAAAAGACCACAATCTAGTGGAAAGAAATAGATATTTCATCAAATAAATATAGGAAACAGAGCAGAAGGAGCCCAGAGGGGGCAGAAGATAACTCTAGGAGTATTGGGGAAAGCTTTACAGGGGAAATTACATTTGATCCAGAACTCAGTGAGTAACTTGGAGTTTGCCAGAAGGGGAGAAGGGCATTCGAAATAAAGTGAACAACATATGCAAAAGCTCAGGGTGATGAAAGATCCTGGAATGTTCTGGAAACTGTTAGAAGTTCATTATGGCTGCAGCATAGGGTGAGCAACGTGAAGTGACAGGAAATGAAGAAGTGGCCTGGCTCAATTCATGAAGAAACATAGTATTTAGCAGTCAGAACAGTCCTCTTTACAGAGGCTGAGATCTATAAAGTGGGAGGCAGGCAGAGAAAAAAATAATATAGGGACCTCTGACCCAGATGATCTAGAAGCAGCTTCAAATCATTAAGAAAAATTAAAATAAAAGCAGAACAAGTACTCTTTCCCACTCCCTAATTAGTTCATCTGTTAGGACACCCCTGACCAACTCTGATTCTCGAAGTGGTATTTACATGCAAGTATTTATGAATATCAATAATTGGGAAACCATAAGGAACTATACAGTTTAATCCAGATTCTTAATAGCACGGTCAAAATCCTACACATACAATGCAGCCTTAGCTTTGTTTCCTCAACCTACATCTTCACCAGGACGCTGAGACAATAACCGTCGCCAGGCAGCGTTAACGGAAGGTCCACTCACTGCCAGTGTGAAAACCCAAACTGAAAAATCACACCTGCAGTTCGTTAGGAAGGATTTGGGCAGAAAATGAGGGTTTAACATCCAGCAAACTAAGGTTTGCTAGTTTGTCTTTTTTTAAATGTGGTGGATGAAGTCCATCTAGAAAAGTCTATTCTCAGGCAAAGTGAAATAGGAAGACTGAATCTCCAAACACCATCCATCTCTGCCATTTCTATGAGTTTAAACCAAGAAGAAAGACTTTTCCACCCTCCAGTCTATTCAGTTTTCTGCTTATAGGCAGGATGCTTAACAAAATCATCTTCTGGGATCCTTGCCAGCCCAAAGTCTATAATTTTGCCATCTTCTTTCTCTGTGACTCACTGACTTACTGTGGTCCTAGAGCAGTGAAATGTGTTACATGAATGCATCCTCTTTCTAACTGTTCTACAGAATAATTTTGGATGGAATGGGGAAAATACAGATACAGAAACCTACAAAGAAAGAGGAAGGTGTATATGAATGCTCTGTGGCTAATCATCTTGGTTCAGATGTGGAAAGTTCTCCTGTGCTGTATGCAGGTAATGCCCGTTGTTGAAACCTGGAATGCCTGGTTTTTGTTTTGTTTTTGTTTTTAACATTAAACTCTAGAGCAGCAGTTCTCAAACTTTAGCGTGCAGCAGAATCACCTGGGGAGTTTGTTAAAACACAGATTTCTAGACCCCATTCTCAGAGGTTCTGACTCAGAAGATTTGGGATGGAATCTGAGAATCTGCATTTTTAACATGTTCCCGGGTTATGCCAATGCTGCTGGCCCGAGGACCACACTTTGAAAATGGCTGCTCTAGATCTAGCTCGCTTTCTAAGAATTAGGAATTAATGAGGCAGGGTTTAATTGGCAGTGTTGATAATACTATCAACTTTTCATTTTTAAAGTGCCACCAGCCAACAAAAGAGATTATCCCTTAAAGGTTGCTGCATATCTCCCAATGGCATACCTACTGATCCTTAGAAACACTTTCAGGAAGTTGTGACTACAAATTAGTGTACAGTATATCTTCCCAGGAGGTAGACAATGTCATTTTAGTATTAAAATGTGCTTTTATTATGAAAGAACATTTTTAGGTGGTCAAGTTGTGAGCAGTGCTTCCTTGTGCAAGCTCATGTTCTGGGATTAAAAAATAAAACAAGGGAGCTGTCCTCCAGCTCCCTGCTCTGTGGTTTCTGGGATCTGTGGCTCAAATGGACTAAGATGAGGAGAGGGACAATATCAGGAATTAGAATCCAGCTTTTAGACAACTAAGCATTGAGCTTTGTAGCAGGTACCTCGCATCTATAAATTGAGGAGTTTGGACCAGTTGATTTTAAAAGCTCTTTGAATCGGTATGGCTTGATTCTCTAAGTCCCTACCCTGGCTTCATTCCCAACACAGGGCCTTCAGGCCTTGATCTTTTGTACATTGATCTTCCTGGATGGTTCTCTACTGTGAGCATCAGCTCCTTTCCAGAAAACATCAGTTCCGAGGCTCTGGAATTCCTGGGGGGAATAGAAGTCCCCCTTGCAGCTCACAAGTCTCCCCTTAAGTCCCTCCCAGAACAATCCATATTCCTGGGGGAGCTGGTGCAAGGTCCTCAGGGGCCAGAGGACATGCTGTGACAACTATAGTCCTCTCCCAGCCCAAGGATTCCTATCTTTTCACATCTCAGGATAGCTTTCCACTGCCCCAGGCCTTCCAGGAGAGAATGCAACACTTGGTCACCCAAGCTTTATTGTTCCTAAATTCTCTTCCCCAGAATTCATGGTTACCAAGGAGCTAGCTAAAATGTTGTTATTCTTTCATGTTCTATGCTTAGGTGGTAAAATAGGTTAAGAAAATGTGGCCTCTCCCTCTAGGAGCTCACATGCTAGTGGTGGAGCAGGGAAACCAACCATGGCAGTAGTTCTACAGTAGAGGAATGCTCTGTCAACATGCTGTCTAGGATGTTGCCTTCTCTGACCCCCACATGCTATTGAGAGACCCCTGGGCAACCAGTACCTTTCTCTATCTCAACACCCATCCCCCTGTATGGTAATGGTGTCTCCCACCAGTCTATGAATTACTTGAGGGGAAGAATGGCTGTTTTCCAGCTCTGTGTTCCCATTGGTCAGCTCAGAGTGTATTTCCTGAGTGAGTTAATGAATGAATCTGTTAAAAGGACATGGTTCTCTGGGGCTGGCCCTGTGGCATAGTGGTTAAGTTCCCGCGCTTTGCTTTGGCGGCCCAGGGTTCCCAGGTTCGGATCCTAGGTGTGGACCTAAGCACCACTTATCAAGCCATGCTGTGGTGGCGTCCCATATAAAGTAGAGGAAGGTGGGCACAGATGTTAGCCCAGTGCCAAATCTTCCTCGGCAAAAAAGAGGAGAATTGGCAACAGATGTTACCTCATGGCTAATCTTCCTCACCACCAAAAAAAAAAAAGTACCTGGGTCACAAAATCCAGGAAAATAAAAGTCTTTGAATGGGTTCCTGATTCTTTGTGACCTTGTTTTTATTATTGTTTTTTCCATGCAAATTTTATGCAGGTTTATTTCAAGTATTCCTTCCAGAAAAAGAGTCAGGTGGTCCCAAGCCCTGGTGTGTTTTGGTCCTGCTTTAACTCATCCAAGACTGCACTGCAGAGATGTTGTTCCTGCCCTGCCATGCCTTTTTTGCTTCCTATGAACTTCCGAATTCCTTCTTTTCAAATTATCAAAGAGGACTTTATCCTCAATTTTGGTTATAAAACCGATATATCCTCATAGTCTGTATGTGGTTGTTGCAATGCATCTTTGTAGATGTCTCTTTGGTTACATCCATCTGTCTGTCCATCCATCCCTTGAGCACCTGCAGGCTGTGTATGTGCAAGTCCCCGTGGAGCACCACGAGGGGTACAGAGAGAGCCCGGACTCTGCCCCTGCTCTCAAAGAGCTCAGCCAAGTTTACCAAATGCAGCATCGTTTACCAAGGGCAAAAGCCTGAACTAACATAGTTTCCTGCTCCCTTTGAATTAAGAGGCGCCTGTCATCTTGTCTATTGAAAGAAATATTACCAGACCCGAGCACAACCATCTGTCCATTGTGGTTGGAGGCATCGTGGAGGCAGCCCTGCGAGCCAACGTGACAATCCAATGTCCTGTAAAAGGTAAGGTGGTCATTTCCAGTGGGAGGGCATGAGGCCAGCCCAGTGTTTCTGGGAGATGCCAGCTGGCATTTTGGCATCTTAGACCTCAATCTGACAAGCTTAAGAATCTGATTTTCCAGCACGCTGACAGTGGATCTCTCTCCCAAGGGTGAGCTCACACCAGCTCTTGAGACCGCTGTGTAAAACAGAATGCCAGTTTATTCATTTCCAGTGGGGACCACAAGGACTATGTACAGGACCTGCCCTGTACACGGGCATATTCATATTAGCAGGACCAGAACACTGTGTCCCTGTGGGCAGATCTGCACGAGAGGCCAACTTCTAGTCAGGTGGTTGCTTGGTGAGTGTAGAGTCAGATGAGGGGATTTGTTGAAATTGTTTGTTGTATCCTCCAGCTAGACAAAGCCTGCACTAGGCAAAGCCAGGTCAGGGAGCGGGAAGGTCTAGGTCCGCTGGCCTAGACTCCCTCTGTCCTGCACTGTCCTTGGGTGAGCATCACCAGTCTCTGCTTCAGTGGCCCTTTCTGCTTTGTTTACAACAGCAGATAAACCTCCTTTCTGACAGAATCATTCTTTCTTTAATAACATTTTCAGTCTGACCTTGCCTTAATCTGGAGCTGTTCTGCCTCCTTCAGCCATGGATTCTTAAGTCTTAACCTGAGCCCATGCATCCCCAAACTGTGATCAGTGTTATATGCTGCACATGTGCACATTTTATGGAAACCAGGGGGGCTGTGTGAATAGCTTTGATCAGTTCCTCAGAGAGCCTTGTGAACTCCTCAAAATTAAGATCTACTATTTTAAGGTGACTTTGCATATGCCTGTGACTTACTGTGCATTCATTTAACTCTCTGGAGAACTGTATTTCCCTGATTTCCAAGTTCTAACAGGGTGCCTGTGGTTGCAGCCACTTAAGATGAATCTTGCCCAGGCCGTGACCCAGAGAGTGCAGGGTAATGGGAGGAGCCCTCGCTGCTGTTCTGGGTACCACAGTGAAGGTGCGTGGAATGAAAGCATCCCAGAACACGCTCATGCAGCCTTCAGGCTCTCCCTGCCCTGTGATGGGCAGTTACTTGCCATGTTTCCAGAGCTCTACAAACAGTGGAAATTTGCTAAACCCCAAGGTATTATTTTTCACCCCTTGGAAGTCCCTGTGGTGTTTGTCCTACACAGACTTTTGAAAAATCCCTCCAGCCTCCCACCTGACTCCACCCACAAGTATGTGAGTTTTCTGGCAAAATGCACCCACCATTACAGAATGGGCCGGCAGTCTCTGGCCTCCACGAGGAGAAAAGCAGAACGGAACTTTGCAGTTGCCAAGCCACAAATGTCTCGAGTTTCTACAGCCCTACACCTGCAGAGGATTCTGCAAAATAAATCTGACTTCTATTAAGAGAAACCTCAACTTTTAACATTATTTCTAAATTTCTTACTTCCACAATAGTTTAAAATCAGGCTCTCAGAGGGATGACCCCTTGAAAGGATGGTAGTGTATTATTTGCTATGGTAAGTAAGGGACTGGATTCAGTGGAAACTGTTTCTGTCACTGAAGCCTCCAGCAAAGACTGTTCAGCTGGTCTGGGTTTTATTCTCTTGGCCAGGCCCGGTCAGCGTGCGGGCCATCTCTGACCTCTCCCTGACCCTGGTCGCCCCTTCTGCAGTGTGCTGAGCACCCTTGGGACCTTGTTGAAGCTCAGTGTTGGGAGTGCTCCTCTCCCTCCTCCCTCCCTCCACGTTCAGCTCTTACTAGGAATGAAGCCATTTGGTCTTTCTCTACCTGGCCGTCATCCCCTATGGACCAGACCCCAGGAACTCATCGGGAGTCCTTTCCTTTTCAAAACAAACCCGCCTCATTTTGAGTTATGTGCCATTTTAAATAAACCTGCAGTGAACTTATTGTGTTTCCTTATGGGCAGAAGCCATAGCTAACTTAGCTTTTATGGAGATTCATCTTTTTAAAGACAGATGGTGAAGTTGACGAAGGGTCAGAAAACTTGGGTTTTACAGACAGTTCTGTCACTTGCTGGTCCATGAGTCATCTGTCCTTCCTACTCTCATCTGTAAAATAGGAAATATACTATGTTACTAGAGGGAGGGACTTTGGTTATCATCTAATCCAGTCCTTCACTTTATAGATGAGGGCATGGTAACATTTACAAACCTGAATACTGCTTTATGAAATTACATTTCCATATTGCAAATTGAGATTATTTCTGTAAATCAGTGGCATATGTAAATTTTTCTTTTATTTTCCAGTTGCCTTTAAAACATTTTCCACTAATTATAACGAGCTGATGTACTCATACCTTTTAGACAGACTCATCATTCTTTGTTATAGCCCAACATGTTGTATTTAACCCATGTGGGATAGATATCAATAGTGACTGTCTCTAGTCACTCTTAGATGATATCTCTAATAACTATATTAAATAATAGAACCTGAAAATCTGCATTTCTAGAGGTTAAAAGTTCTAAGTTGCAAGAGTTATTTGCCTTGCTCTTTTAAAAAAATTTTTTTCTTCTAAAAATGGGGGAAAAACGTTTAAACTGCACCTTCTTTGCCACCTTCTGGTAAGAAAGGAAAGCTCATCTCAGGAAAATGACCAGTCAATATCAATAGCTGCTTTTATTTTTTCTCATGTTAGTGCTTAGTAAGAACATTATTAATCCTATAGTTTTCCGTTAGGTGTGGTTTCTGTGTTGCTTGCTTTTTTTATTCCTTCAGCTCATTAGACAGGCAGCTAATCTGGGTCTCTGCTCTAAGGTGTTCTTGTTGTGTGTCAGGCTCCTCTTTAGTCTCCAAGAAGCTCTCTTGGCCCACAGATTGGAATACGGTTGAACTAGGAAGATGGTGGTTCCCAAAAGGATGGGCGTTGGAGACCCCATCAGTGGCCCAGCCCCAGGAGTAGAAAATCTCTTAAACAGAAAATGTGCTGGACAACTACTCCTTAGAGCAAAGTAAAATTGTCTGGAAGAATTGGAGATGCCTAAAACTTAAAACTAAGATAAAGAACAAAAATGTCTTGTAATGCTGGTTGTAGAACATAGGTATACACCTACTTTAGGAGGGAAAGTTCTGCAATTGTGGACTGCACCTGGCTTCCCACCAGGTTTTGTATATGCTACATGAACCATGTAGCATATAGAAAAGGCACATTAACAATGAACATAGAGGCCAATAAATAAATAAAATTTTAAGATATTAGCAAACTGAATCCAGAAATGTATAAGACTAAGCAGAACTTTTCCCAGGAATGCAAAGGTTTTTTTAACATTTAAATATATCTACTTTAAAGAAGCTGTCTCAAGTTGGGTCCTCTGAAAGCAGATACTGGGATGGAGTGTGGTGTGCAGGAGATCTATTAGTTGTCAATACCTGTGGAAGGGAGGGAGCAACAGGGTTGGACAGAGAATGAAGGAGAGCTGTGCTGTAAGCCCACAAAGCCTGGCCAAGCACAGGGGAGCTTTGAAGCATCTATGACTCAACAGGGTTGCCCAACTCTGACCCACAAGGACCAGGCCTTCATACACCTGCCTCCATCAGTCACTGGTTGTGGGCCTCTCCAGAAGGGATGTGCTCTTGCGTGAGCTGAGGCAAACTGTTAAGGAGCTGACAAGTGGAGGCTAACAGCAGCTGGATACCAAGGCCTTCCATGAGGGGGCATCCAGGTGGAGCATCTCCATGTCTACCACAGAGATTTAAGGAGATAACATTTGTGATCATCTTATAGATGTAGGAAAAGCATTTGATAAATTTCAATACAAAATGATGTTTAAACCTCTCAGCAAACCAGTAATGGAAGGGATCATCCTTACCCTGCTCATGTTTTTTTTAAAGGACCTATCAAAAACCTATGGCAAACATCATACTCATTTAAATGGTGATACTCTAAAACCTTCCCATTAAAGTCAGGAAAAATATAAGATACTTTTATTACTGCATCTGTTCAATACTGCTTTAAAGGCACTAGCCAATGCAATAAGATAAAAATATTTAAAAGGAAAATGAAGTATAATGATTAGAAAAAGTTCTTCTTATTTATAGACAAGATAATTATCTACATGGAAAATCTGAGAAAATGGGCAAAGTTTCAGATCTGTAAATTCAGTGTAATGCCGATTTTTTTTTAAAAGAAAAGCCCTGCAGGATTGCTGGAACTTGACAAACTGATCCTATCATTAATAAGGAAGAGCAAGTGACCAAGAATAGCCCAAACATGTTTCAAGAATAACAAGGTAGTTGAGATTTGCTCTATCAGCTATAAAGACTTATCATAAAGCTGGTATAATTACAACAGTGTGGTATTGGCATAGATATAGACAAATAAATGGAATATAGAGCCCACAGCAGATTTAAGCATATATGAAAATAGTATTTAATAGCAGGAAAATTAAAAGTCAATAAAGGACATAATACTAAGCAATGGTGATAGGATAATTAGTTTTGATAAATAGATGTTAAAAAAAAATCTCTACCAAAATAAATTCTAATTGGGTTAAATGCCTGAAATATGAAAAGCATAAAACTTTTATAATAAAACATAAGCAGTATCTTTATGACTTCAGAATGGGGAAGATACTAAAAGTACAAGCTATAAAATAAAAGATCTAATGGATAGTGTTGATGGTTGCACAACTCTGAATATACTAGACCTACTGATTCATACACTTTAAAAGAGTGAATTTTATGATATGTAAATTATATTTCAATAAGCTGTTATAAAAAATATTTATAAATTTTCTATATTAAAATTTAAAACTTCTGACCCCTGCAAGACAGTATCAACAAATGTAAAAGTCAAGCCACATTTATGGGAGAAAATATTTGTTATACAGGACCCAGAATATATAAATAACTTCTATGAATCAATACAAATAACCCAATATAAAAATAGCAAAGGAGGGCCGGCTCCATGGCTTAGCGGTTAAGTGCGCGCGCTCTGATGCTGGCGGCCCGGGTTCGGATCCCGGGAGCACCCCGAGGCACCACTTCTCCGTCCA